TTTAGACAAACCGAACTTATGTAGTAAGTAAAGTTTACAAGAAGCTATAGTTCTTGTCTTATTTTTGAGAAGACATTTCATTACATTATAGTGTATTTTATTTTGTATTAAGGAATGAGACTGAATGAGTTACGGATATTTCTAAAAATAAAAGTTAGATTCATTTAGCTATAAGTTGTACTGTAAAACCTAGTAATTCCATCAACTAGATGGAAGAAAGATAGAGCTGATGGTGAAATCTATCGATTTTTAAGCTATACAATCATATATTTAATCCCTTTGCTGTACTCTAGTTTTATGATGATAATTCAAATTAATTAAACTTCAAGTATACAATATTGCCAAAATGGTATTTTCTATGCAGTTTTATTTAATAACTTCATTTTTACTGATTTTAGCTTTACACAAGGAATTGCATTTCATAGCTTTGCCAAATGTACATCATAGTCACGATTTAATGCGTAATTAATTAATCGACGATCCTCGGTTTACAATAAATTTTGAGATTGCCCGTTCTAGTTTAAACTTCAAACCGAACGTATTCTTAGCATTTGAGATGAAATAATGTAAATGTTTGTTTATCTGAGGCTTTGAATTTACAATGATATCACAAAAAAGTGTACGATAATAAAGCTCTATCGTACATCAAGCATAGAAATATTGCTTTTTAAATAGACATTTTTATCGGCGGAATATTTGGCGATAAGTGTACAAACTGTCAACACGCATATATTGTATGTACTGTAGGTATCATATATTATAGCTGAATCATAATCATGCTATATCGTATTATATGTATTCGCAAAGCATTAATATTCATGGAATATTCTAGAACTTACAGTATAGTATTATACTAGTATTATACAGTATTATATAATATACAGTATTACATATTCTACTGTACTATACTGTACAGTAGACAAATTATGAGCGCCGCTGTCGTATTTTATTAGCACGTGCGGAAAGTCTTAAGTAAAGTTCAATGCTTTGCTAATGCATATAATACGTTATCTCTTTCGTTTCTCTACATTTGCTCGAGCACCTGTTGCAAAAACTATTTTGAGCAAGAAAAAATTTTTTTAAAATGTCGCAACCCTCATTTTTAGGCCGTGTAATCCCGGACAATGTAGCGCGAGTGATTGTCGCTGTTATATTAACTGTAATAGCGTGGGATGCTGCCAATTTTGGTTTATATTGGGTACAGCAGGACTTCTGTGCTATGTTCTGTTCCAGATTCTTATTATAGCAAATAAAAGCGCTATAAGAATACTAAAATCGGTCGTTCACTTTATTTCTAAAATATCCTTTTATCATCATTTTTATTACTTTTTAGGTTTATAAATTGGAAGTATATCTGATCTTCGGAACTGTACTGACTGTCATGGTTTTGGCTATATTCGTTTTTTTGCGTACTACACATGATTGTGAACGTTTTATGGAGGGAGTAAGGAAAAATATTTAAATTATTTAAGTTTGTAGTTTTACCTGAACTGTTACTACGGTTTTAATTGTATCTTATCGTTTATTTAGGATAAGAATGAGGATGAAGATGAGGATGAGGATGAGGAAAGTGAAATTACGTGGGGAATAGCAGTTGGATGTTATGTTATTATCGTAATTCTTATCATTGTCTTTCCAAAATTTCGTTTTACCCGATGTCATCTTCGTAATGCCACAATCCAGAATTTTAGTAATCACATAATCTCTTCTCACGCGCTAAAATGGATCAATTCTAGCTGTCCTCCGCTCTTTTTAGATAATACTTATGATCGCTACGTTAATGTCACAGATAACGTTTATAATTGGTATTTTTTTGAATATCACACCCTTAATCTGACTTGTGGGAACCTTTCGCTCCCTTTACGCGGAAGTTTAATCTCTCATACTTATAACTGGACTATGATCTTTACTTCTTTCATTTTCATCATCATCTTCTGTTTCTTCTATAAATTCGAAGAACAGTACGTCGGTAAACT